CTTTCTGTATTTCAAAAAAAAAGGTCTGATTCTTAAATGAGTTAGAAAAACACCCACAGTACTGAAAGAGGAGAGTTTTAGTCCATAGATTACAGAGAAGAGTCAAAGAAAAAAAAATAGAAGAAGGAAACTCAATCCGTTCATTTTAAAAGACTTGCATAAATTCCATCTGTAAAAATAGCATTTAAAAAGTAAGATAACCCACTGTCCAAAACCATTCAAAGCTTAATTCCGCCGCTTATTTCTTCTGTTCCCCAATTTAAATTAATTTTAAGTTTTTTTATAGGCAGTCACTTTTAAAGCAGTAAAAATTCCTCACCAGCTGAAAACACGTTCTCTTTCCGTATCCTTCCGTTTTAGAGCTGCCCCAACTTCATCAGCCTAGGGGCTATGCTTTTGTCGCCAGCTAGAAGAACTTCTCTTGGATCGATCAGGGACTTTGCGATGTCCCTGACATCAGTACTGCTGAAATGTTAATCTTGCCATTTGCTATGCCAAATGTTATAATAAGGCACTATTATTGAGGCAAGACTCAACTGTAGCTAAAAATAGAGTCTTGAAGGGGGGACTAAGGCAGAACATAAAGCGAGATTTGGACATAAGAGTGAACATGAAACGGGGTCAGACTAGAGGATTTCTTGATTTCTATCCCTTCTATCTCGTTATACATTTTCTAGTCTTGAAGAAGAACAGGAAACTTGAACTTAGGAAATTCAAATGTCAAACCGCGACACCTGTTGTAAGTAGGCCAAGTCAGTTGGAAGTCTCGCTTGCGAGTCAGACATAGGGCTTAATGAAGGGGGCGTGGTGTCACGGTGGAATGGTCAGACTTTCCTGGAGTCCCGGGATCGTTGCCGAATTCTGGTTGTCTGGATGGTCCATTCGGACCTAAACCGTCCTGTAGAGATGGTGATAGTTAGGGGGTAAATCCTGTCGATCCCAGAGACACCCACAAAGTCTCTGGTGATCCAGGAAAAAGCCCCTTTTGCCGGCGACTAAGAGTCAGCCTCTCGGCTGCTGAAACTACTGACCGCCCCGAATGAAAGCGCTGGAGAGAAGCATGTCAATTTGGTGAGAGTTTTAATTTTTTTTTCCTTTGGAGGGAGAATACCCTAAAACTTGGAGATTTTACGAAAGAAAGAAAGAAAGAAAGAAAGAAAGAAAGAAAGAAGAAAGAAAGAAAGAAAGAAAGAAAGAAAGAAAGAAAGAAAGAAAGAAAGACTGATACAAAAATAAGCGGCGGACGTAAGAAATAGTTAATTGAAGGTTTCCTTCCCCCCCCCCTTTTTTAATGGTTAAAAATCAAACACAAAACAGAAGATGAGTAGAAAAATAGCAACTGTTGCCTCTGCAACATCAACTCCCTCCTCTTCACCTGCAGGAGGGCAAAGATCAATACAGACGATGCTTCAACAGGAGAAGGGAAAGGACAAGGGTGTAACATTAGAGGGAATTATGCAAGGAATACAAAAAACTAGAAGCAAGAGGAGAGAGTATTGAGAAGAGGATAGAAAATATAGAACAAAAGACAAGCAAAACAGAAGAAAAAATTGAAACGATTCAACAATGGATGATGAAATATGAAGACAGATTACAAAAAATCAAAGAAAGGGATGAAGAAAGAGAGAAGAGAATGGAGAATATTGATAGTAGATTGAACACTGGAAAAAGACAGCAGCGGAATTCTGGGATGGGAAATGGATCGGTCAGAATTCTTTTTAAGATTCCAAAACAGAAGAAGAAAAAGGTGACGACTTGGCGCAAATAATATCAGAATTACTGAAAGATGTGTTAGAGATAACCCAAGAGAAGATGATTAATGGCATAGACGAGGAATTTTGAGTCTACACAAGATATGCAATAGCAATAGCAGCAATAGCAATAGCAGTAGACTTATATACCGCTTCATAGGCCTTTCAG